CCAGAGGAGCAGCTCTCTCCGGCAAGCTTTTCCGGCGAATACACCGGCCACAGGTTTTTACTTTATTTTCCACATCCACTGCCATTCTTGGCCAATAGAACCGAGTCCTGGCAAGGTCAAGGGTCCGTTCCACTCCCAGGTGGCCCATATCATTGTGGAGGCTGTGGAGAACAGTTTGCCGCAGTTCTGTCGGAAGGACCAGTTGGTATGATGGTTGTTCATTTTCATATCTTATCCTATAAAGGATACCATCAATCAGCTCCAATTTGTTCAGTTTGCGAAGGAGAAGAGGAATTTCAGGAAGCTCTTTCCTGGCTGTCAGAGGAACTTTTTCTCCTGACTCCAACTGGTGAATAACCTCTTGAAGAGTTGGATCAGTTCTCTGTTTTTCATAAAGCTCAGAATGGGATATGGTGGAAATAACAGGAAGTCCATGTGAATCTTCTGAGTAATTCTCAGGAAGCACTGCGGTGTTGATGGACAGGGATTCAACCAAACTATTCTCAGCTTGGGTCCTGACAACACCACTTTGGCAAATCGCATCGACAACTTCAGCTGATATTTCACCATCACTGCTGCTTGAGAGATGTTGTTGAGTAAACTGATTAATTAGCTCCTCATCTTTTTGAGCAGGTTCCCCAGAGGAAGTACCATCATGGGGCAGACGGGAAAGTGCATCTGCATCCAGGTTTTGCTTGCCTGCTCGATACTGTATCTTGAACGAGAATGTAGAAAGAGCAGCCAGCCAACGATAGCCGGTAGCATCCAACTTTGCTGATGTCAAGATATAGGTAAGTGGGTTGTTATCCGTGACCACTGTAAAGCTTGCTCCGTACAAGTAATCATGAAATTTTTCTGTCACGCTCCACTTCAGTGCCAAGAATTCAAGCTTGTGAGCTGGGTAACGACTTTCACTGGATGACAACCCCCTACTAGCATAGGCTATCACCCTAAGTCTCCCCTCTTGCTCTTGGTAAAGGGCAGCGCCCAATCCGTTGGTGCTGGCATCTGTGTGGAGAATGTAAGGCAGTGCCGGATCAGCAAAACCTAGAACTGGTGCAGTGGTAAGTTTGTCAATGAGGGTATCAAAAGCCAACTGACATTCAGGACTCCACCTGGAACCAAAGGAGTGCTTGGGATCAAACTGTGAGCTCTTAGAAGTCTCATTTCTGGAGCTTTTGTGTGTGGATGGGTATCCACGTGTGAGGTTGTTGAGTGGCTTGGCGATCATGGCATATCCCTTAATAAAACGCCTATAGTAGCCAGCGAATCCCAGAAAAGATTTCAAGGTCTTCAGGTTGGTTGGAATTGGCCAGGATTTCAAGGTGGCAACCTTTTCTGGGTCTGTCTTAACACCATTTTCTGAAACAATGTGGCCCAAGTATCGGACGGATGTCTGAAAGAATTTGCATTTTTCTGGAGAAAGTTTTAACCCAAATTCTTTCAAGCGATTCAACACTCTCAGCAAACGGTCTTCGTGCTCCTCAAGAGTGTTGGAGAATATGATCAAATCATCCAAAAACACGAGGACCTCTTTCAAGTGCAAGTTGCCCATGCACTTCTCCATGAGTCTTTGGAACGTTGAAGGTGCATTAGTAACTCCTTGAGGCATTCGGTTGAACTCCCAAAACCCAATTGGCGTTACAAAAGCGGTTTTGGCTTTATCAGCTTCATCCATCTCTATCTGATAATAACCAGATTTGAGATCAAGCACAGAGAACCATTTCGATCCAGTGAGTGCTGTAAACGATTCCTCCAAGTTGGGCAATGCGTACACATCCTTAATCGTTTGCAGGTTGAGTTTGCGGTAGTCAATACATAGTCGAATGTCTCCATTTTTCTTCTTGACAACCACTATTGGTGATGAAAATGATGACTCCGACTCCCTGATAACACCAGTATCTAGAAGCTCTCGAAGATGTTTACGAACAGCTTCTATGTCCTGGGGATGAATAGGTCTTGCTTTGTGTTTAAAAGGGGTATTGTCATGGAGCTTGATGTGATGCTTCACTTCCTTAGTGCAACCAAAATCCAAGTCATGATGTGAAAAAACTTCAGACATGGCATTTAGTTTTGTTGTGATCCGTTCTCTCCATTCTGCTGGTATTGGTGACTCGCCAAATTTGAAAGTGAGTGGTGTTGACACCATCTCCCAATCTGGGGGGTTGGTCACACTGTGCTCAGAGACTATGCAGTCCCACCTTTAAGAGCGACTAGACAATTACTGACACACAAACCACCCGGCAGGCCTGAACCCGGGTGCTGAATGACAACACATTGACTAGCTGGGCTGAGAAGCTTGGCAGAACCCTCGTCCACAACTGTGCAGCCAGCTGGAATTAGCACAGGAGATTTACTAAGGGTCGTCACAACACCAAGATGATCATTCCAATTCTGTTGGTATGTCACTTGGAGAGTTTGCAGAACTGCTCTGTACCCGTAAGAGGTAGGCTGGAATGATGAACAGTTACTAGAAGAGAATTGTTCATAAAGAATTTCAAGTGTATTCATGCCAACAAGTACTGAGGTTGGATAATCAGGTCTCACATCAGGAACAACAAGTGCAAGCGTTTGAACTGGGAAGTCACTCCCAAGAAAGTCTTTTGGAAATGTCATGGCAACCTCAACATACCCAAGGTATGGAACACATTGACCAGCAGCCCCCTCCACATGAAGAAGCTCATTCAATGGGTGGACTGGCTGATCGGAGAGATGCTCATTATAGAATGAAACTGGAATTGTGGTAACCTGGGAACCAGTATCCAGTAGACACGGGCAGTTGCAACCTGCAATGTTGACTTCTGCTGTACATCTGGATCCAACTAATCCTGGTGGTAATCTAGTGTGGATCTTTGTCTGCGACTTTGCACACTTGGCATGCTTTTTGTTCTCAGCGGGACAAGGTTGGTCCAGCTCAGCTCCTGTTTGCCCCTCAACAGGAACTGGAACTAGTTTAAATCCTCAGAAGCAGAGGACTTTTGCTTCTGCCACTTTTGTTTGCTGTCAAATTGCTTCCGCTTGGCACTTACCAATGCTGAATTGGGTGCATTTTCACATTGTGGCTTAATGTGACCATCTTCTCCACAGCGGAAGCAAAACCCTGGTTTAGGGCTGGAGACGCTAGGTTTTGGATTCTTACCAACCTTCTTTGGCCCATAGAGCTTTGGAGCTGGGCAGGCAGCAACCGGTGGTTTGACATTACACTGCTGTGCTGTCAAAGCTGAAAGCTGCTGTTGTATAGCTGCCATCTGTTGTGAAAGCCGTTTAGTCAGAGTGGTTAGCGCAGCACAGAGGTTAGGTTCTTCTCCAGTATTGGCAAACTGGGCATTAGTGGTGGCTTTCTGTTTTGTCGGTCCCAAATGCTGTTTCATCCTTAATGTCTTTGCTGCCTCTCTGTCCTCTTCAGTTCGAAGGAGTAATAGAAGCTCAGTAAATTTGGGGGGGTTGTGCTTCTTTTGCTTAAGTTGGAGTTCCGATATTAAATTGTTATCCCAACATCCCCTGCAGAATTGATTCAACAGTCGGTTGTCTATGTCTTTCTCTAAAACACCCCCTCTTTTTGCTGCATGCTGTAATACCACCTGCAGACGTTGCAAATAGGCCGAAGGCTTTTCTCCGCTGTCCTGGAAGGTGTCCATGAACTTGGCGTATAACTCATCTCCATCTTGCACAGTGCCATAGGCTGAGTCAAGTTGTTTCATATAGACCTCTGGTGGTGTGTCAAGGCTGAGATGTTTTACCATATTACAGGCAGGAGGCAGTAGACTGTCACGAATCAGTCTGGTGCGCTGCAGATCAGATATAGATGGATCTTTCAGGGCTAATTCGACCCCTGACCGCCATATATCATAATCTGTCTCTTGAATTGGCCTGGGCACTTTACCAGAAAACGCTCTCAGTCGATGGAATGCATGCAGCGAGCTGTCCCCACTCCGAACAACGTGTTCCACAACATAGCGTTGTACTTCAGGAGGGTTGAGATCAGCCGCTGGAATGGAGGCAGAATGCCTCTCTCTGCCGTGCGCTTCAGCACTACTGGCAACAGAAGGGGACTTAGATGGAAGAGGGGCTGGTAGTGAAGAAGGAAAGACTGAATCGGGAGGGTTTGAATCTTCTAGTTCTGGTTTTGCAACCACTGGAGTCTCTGGGTTGAGCTCTGCAAGGGACCGACGTATCTGGGTCATCCCCTCACTGAGGACTTCTGCATAATCCCTCCCAGATAATTTGGCTATTCTTTTTAAGTCTGCCAAGTAAGTATATGTCTTGGAACCACTAACTTTTGATGCATAAACTTCAGATAGACTTTCAATATGGAGTTTGTCACCTGAATCTGACATAGATGTGTGCGGTAGCAACTGAGACAACCGCGTTAAAGATAAACCCGAAGCGTACTCAGCGACAAGCATGTCATTAAATTCAGATTCTGGTGAATCTATAGTAACCTTGCGAGCTATGTCACCATACTGTTCAAGGAAATGTACAACTTCATTAACTGAGTGCTCAGTTACTCCGTCAACTAAAACCGCATTTGGGATCTTAATGGCAAGTGTCTCAAAAACTTCCATTATGGGGAAAAATGAATTGGTGAGTTTGAATATATATTAATTACTAACCAAATCAGCTCCTGGCTGGCTCGCCAAGAAATGTAACACTGATGTAGCGCTAATGAGTTAATACAGGCTAGGGATTGAGTGTGATTATTATTAATCAGAAGAGTTAGGAATGCTACTGGAGCTGATGGGCAGTAATTAAATACACACAACACAAAATGCTTTTGCAGGTACCATGTATTTAACCGAAAGCAAAGAAAATTAAGAAAAGAAAATGAAAGCTTAAATAATCATTCCTGCTGTAGCTAATTAATAGAAAAACCCAGTGGGGGTGCACAAAAACAACTAAGCAAATTCTTCTGGCTTATACCAAGCAATATAGATTCTCAAAAAAAGTTCCCCATAAATAACACATGTTAACATCGAAAACACTGATCCACATTGAAGTCCATGAGTTTTATCTGAATATCCATGAGAGATGTCCAAGCGCTATTGTCCATAAACGGGGGAACTGGTGTGTATGATTGTGGAAATCAGTGTATTCGGAAATTACGGGACAGAGCGTCGCCTTTGATAGCTTCCTACCAGTCCAGTGGAAGCTTCAATGCAGAATGAGTCCTGCTCCTAGCCGTTCATTGGCTCGCCATCCTTTTCCATACCCAAAAAAGGTTCACCTGGCCTGCATTAAATAAACAAGGCCAATAAGAAATCACAAGAATAACATACAAAAATGTCAGCCAATTAAGCTAAATACATTAAGTTATTCTTGTTCCTGTGTACACAATTTATAAAAATAAACAAACAATATATTGGTTAAATATAATATTTCTAACCAATAAGGATTTAACTGAAAACATTTCAACTGCTACATACATACATACTATGTAGCTCCACAACATTTGTTATTCAACAACTATCAGTCAAATCAAAATCAAATTGTTTGGACCGGCAGCAGCCGATTAGGGTCAGCTGGTAGCAATACAAACAGTCAATTAAAAGTTCAAACTCACCAATTCCATTCTGTTCAGTGCACAACAACATTATGGCTCTGGCTCACAGTAATCAGCATCTAAGTTGCATAAGTTGGTTGGTGTTAAGAAAATGCATTAAAACGGGAAAAGCAAATGTTTGCCAATACACACCTGCAACAGCTCTGTCACCTGGCTTGCCTCCACGCATCTGACGGGAGGAAGCCGGGACAGGCTTACTATGACCTACATGCCATTCGATTGGCTGAGCAAAGTCATGTGGTTGGAGTCATGCATTTGTGATGCGTTCAATGGCAGGAAATAAGTGCAGGAAATTACTCTGGGTTACACCTGCCTCATCACATCTTCTTCCCCTTCGTCCTCCCTGACTAACACCCTCACCTCACCTGATTCCAAGTTTAGGTGAGGATGTGCTACCTCATAGAGAGATCACAGTATCTCAGGCTGAAGGTGATCAACTCTGACACTCTGGCCAGCAGCACTGGTGCACCACAGTTCACGGTGCTGGCCCCACTTCCCTTCACTCTATACGCTTCAGACTTCAACTACAACTCTGAAATGGGTCACTTGGACACATATAAAAATGCTCTCACACTCACACAACATGGAGACACAAAGAAACAGATGCTGTACACAAAATCACACTCTCTATACACCCACTATACCGTATTATATTATACTTTATACTTCCATTTCGAGGGCACCAACACCTCCAGAGGGGCAATGTGCCCCCAGACCCAGGAGATGGTCCCCTTTACTCTGGGCTGGAGACAAGTAGAACACCCCAGTCCACATAGCAGCAGAAAAGCCCACCAACCTAGACTTTGACTATACAGCCAGCCCAAGAAGGAAAACAGAAAACAGGGATTTGAGAAGACCCTATGCCTCTCGTCACCTGCTCTTATGTGGTGCGCATTTAAATCTGGGAAGCATGGTGCCAAAGACCTTCTGCCAGACAACAGCTGGTGTCAGCTCGGCCCCTCCCAAGAACCCTTAATGCATGTCTGCTGGAAGATTAATAATGTTTAGGGCTGCTCAATTAATCAAATTTTAATCATGATAACGATCTGGGCTTTCAACGATCATTAAAAATGACTGAGCCTATTATTAGCACCTCCCTCATGCTTTACTCTCGCGCTACTCCGTGTGGCAAATCGAGCGCACTTCTCTGCATTTCGAACACGCGTCACAACAATTAAGAGGACCCGAGGGAAGCTCGGAAAGCTAAGCAGAAGTTATTTGGAGAGGAGAGTGACTGCTATTGGTTGAAAAGAGAGGTAAAAAAAACTTCAGTGGTGTGGAAACATTATGGGCTCGCGGAGTCAGACGTGGATCAAGTAGACACAGTGTGTAAACTTTGCTACGGTGTAGTAGCTGCACCACAGAGCAACACTGCAAAGTTCACTAAACATAGATGTTTACATTTTTCATTTATTTCTTATATTGCAAACATTTGCACTGTTATCAGTATTTGCACACTATTTTATGTTATTTTTTAAAGTCATTATTCAATACATTGTTATTGTTAACCCTTTAAAGCCGGTCAGAGCAGCATGCTCCGTTTTGCGTAACTATTTTTAAATCCCTGTAGAACCTGAACCGCGTAAGCTAGCGCAATAATTTGTTTTGCATATGAAACCAGAGGAGTTGTACTTACATCTTATGCCATCAGCTTGTCCTCGGTCACGGTTTCCTTCCACATAAAGCTTTGCAAAAATTGCATAAAAAGCGCTTGCAGGAACAAAAACATAATATTCCAGAAACACGCTTTGCCGATCCGATCAGCTGTTCATAACACTTCCCACATTGAAACAGACGTCAGCGCGAACTATCGCATGTCCGCCATTTCCTGGCCGAAACCGGAAGTGACATCATTTTTCACGGAAAATGTAGTTTTTTACTTGTAGGCCTTAAAAGCCTATACTGGTAAGTCATGTTTGACTTTTCTGAATAGTTTCTGGGATGCTTAGAACTCGAATTGCACTGCTGGAAATAGTTTATTTTGATGCACAAGCTATTTTCTTTGCAACTTTGCATCATAGGATTGTTTTTTTGTTTTTCCTGCAGTATATAAAAATTGCTGTATCTCCAAAATAAAACTATGAAGACACTCAAAATAAGTTTCCTTTTGTTGTAAACTATTTTTTGCAACTTTTTTGTATTTAAAGTTTTGAGGGATAAACCTCTTAAATTTCTCCAAGTAGAAATATATATAAAAAAAACAAAAACAATTTTCAAATTTTTTGTAGTTTATTGCACTTTTTTGCAATTAATGTAGTTACTATAGACTTAATGCATACATATTATTAAAATATGGGCTATAACAGTTGTATTGATGTATAGCAACTTGAAATGCTCCCACAAATGGCACTACAACATGTAAAAAAATAATATAAGCTCTGGCTGACTTGGTTCTATGGTAGGTCTTAAAGGGTTAAATAAATATCGTCAAATAATCGAGATCTCAATTTCAGTGAAAATAATCGTGATCATCATTTTGGCCATAATCGAGCAGCCCTAATAATGTTTTTGACATTACTGAGTGGCTTCCTCTCACTCTCCATGGTACTCATAGCCATTGATCAGTGGTCATTGATCAATGGTTTTTGATAATTGGTTGTTGATCAATGATCATGAAAATTTGCATATTAATGATCAAGAAACTGAGAGATGACACTCTCATCTGAAACTCCAAGTCCAGTTGCATTTTTTTTCCCAAGCTCCTTAGACTACAATGACCTGGATGACTAAGAACCTAGACAGATATTCTGCTTAGTGGTGTCACTACTCATGGTTGCATTGTCCACATCACAGGCGAGGGATATCATTACCAGTATTGGGTAAGTTATTTTAAATTAGTAACTTACTTACATTACTAGTTACTTCTCTCAAAAGTACCTCAGTTACTTCAAATTACTCGTTACTTTCAAAGTAACTAGTTACTAGGGAAAGTAACTTTGGTTTTACTCAGAATTCTCTTGTTAATGTATTGCTTCCCTAACTGGATACCCAGCAAGATTGCCAGTCTTCTAGCTTACTTATATGTTAGCACTATCCTACCACAAGTGCACTGTGCAACATACCAACAGAAAGAAAAAAATAATGCGCATTTCCACGAGAGAAATCCCATGCCTGGACTGTCATCGACTGCCGCCATGATTCTAGCCCTGTGTCACAGCGTCACGTGCGCTTTTTACATCCAACACGAAAACTGCAGTCGTGGTGCTTTCGATTGTACTCAGAACTTGGAAATTCTGCCTTCCGAGTTGGAAGATGTAGGTAACACCAGACTGCAGATGAGCTACATACAGGGCTGGACTGGGACATAAAATCGGCCCGGGCGTTTTGACTAGAGACCGGCCCACCATTATAGGAAAAACCATAAAGCCTTTGAATGAAAACAAACGCTGTTGTGACAGTGATGTACACTGCATCTCCCATTACCCTTTATTAACAAAGCAGCTCCACTACTGCTCATAGGCTCTGATCATACCCACCTTATTACGCCTATTGCAGCAGTTAGACATGGACCATTTGGATCTCCTGCAGCAGTGAAAACCCACTTAGGATGGACACTCCAAGATCTGATCACAGACTTCCAACCCCAGAGGAGTCCCGTGCATGCCCGGTGTTTGTTAACATCTTCCAGTTCAGGTTCAGGAGAACCGCTCCAACACATCATTGTGTCCACTGATGGCTCTGAATCCGTTCAGCCACCTCCTACTCTACCATCAGCAGTATCTACGTCGTCACCTGCAGTGCCACTATCACCAGTTCCACCGCCTGTGGCTGCCATTCCGCCAGTGGTCAGGGCACCGTCTGCTCCTGCATCACCTGGTCCTGCCTCTGCCAAGCCCCGTATATTGCCCCCAGTGCCTGCAAAACTGCCCGACCGTCTGCAGGTATGTGCCTGCAGCTGCATCCCACGCGGTCGGCAGCTGGACCTGCTTTGCCACCACCGCTGGCTACATGGTCGGCCCCCTGAACTGTTTGGCCTGCGTTGTCAACCTTCGGGTCGACCCCCTGATATGTTTTGCCTGTAGGGAAAGTAGCACACCTCCGAAAGAAGTTGTAGTGCAGGATAGAAACTATCAGACCTAGAGCATGTCTGATTCACCTGCCCCCACTTCCTGAAAAAGATTGACTCTAACCCTTTCAACATATTTCTCACTAGAAATATGGGGGCGGCTGTTGTAAAGGCTCACCTTTCAGCATACTCACTTCACCAGATGCACCTTGTTTCTTTTCCTCACCTTTGATTGGGTGTGGTGCTTTCCCTTAAATTGCATTCACCTGTCACTCATTATATTAGGACTGCACTCACCTACAGCTCACTCTTTCTTCACTCCCACATGGGGTGGCAGCTGAGAGATAGCAGTCCATGTGTGTCTTTTCTTTTGGTCATTATACAATAAAATGAAAAACCCTGCAAGTGATTACTGACTGTTCATTCTCATTCTGACCGGATGAGCCCATGATGGTAACAATCTCCAACCTCCTCTGAACTTTCCTCCAAAACAGTACCAGTACAGTCTGTGACTTCGGCATGTGCAGTAACACATTCCATGAAGGCATTATAGTATGGTTGTAGTACCAGAGATTAGTTCAGCAGAAGGTAACAGTGTGTGTCCTTCGTCCTTGCCTTCTGATCTGTTGTCTGTGTCTCAAGCAGATTTAACAGTGGAACAGCAAGCTTATCCTTCATTAAAATAATTTGTTCAATCATGCTGTGACATCATCCAAGCTGGGAAAAGATCATCCGGTATATGATCATCCAGTATATGTTCTTCACCATGGTATACTCACAAAGAGGTGGTTTCCTCATGAGAAAGATCTGACTGGGTTGTGTTGCTGAATAAGTATAGACAGTCTGTACTATATTGTAGTACTGTAGCTGGGATAAAAAAGAAGACCAAAACCAGTCTAGTGTTAGACATTTTTTCTGGCCAAAGTGTGGCCAATTCTGTTTACACTCACACAAGAGAAAACAAATCCTTTAACTATTCCTTTCATCAGTCAGCCATTTCAACATCTGGTCATACAACATGTGGGTCCTCTGCCTCCTTAAAGGTCTATTTATGTGTTTTTCTTGACTGTAATCAGTGTTGGGGAGTAACGGAATACATGTACTATTACTATATATTTAAAATACAAAATATGAGTGTAGCCCGGATGGGAATTTGGGAGTAGATACTCGTAATTCCCATGGACTTAAACGCCACAGTAACATAAGGTGTTCACAACTAATGTTATGTGATGTAACTGTACACTGAATGTAATTTGCCCTGTAATATGTCACAAGGTAAATACAGGTAATTAGAGCAATGAAACTGTTATGTTATACATAAAGTATTATTTTATGGTATGTAACTCTGAAGAGAGTTAAAATATTGTTCAGAGTTCTAATTTTCTGGAGGCCCGTGAAGGTAGCATGAAATGGGACCTGTGTATCTGTTGCAATGGAGGAAGAGAACGGCATGGAGAGATGCACGAGGTTAGCTAAACCAAAGTGAGAGACTCAGCTAGTTTTACTGAGGTTAACTAGCACAAAAGAGTGTATTACTAGAAAGCTAACCGTGTGAGAGCTTCGCAACAGATTGTGGGTGAAGTGACTTTTTGTTTCAACGGTCGCACCACCATGTAAAACTGTATTTCCAGCTACGAGTGCCGAGGCTAAAGGCTAGCCCGGACTGCTTGGCTGCGCCACGGAGGCAGCTGCTATGGACTGTCGGAGAGCTGGACAGTGACTGGCTAACGCGCTGTAGCAGAGACAGCATCGGGTCCGCAGGGAGAACGGAGAGTGGATTTAGTTTGGGCAATCTACCGAGCAACTGAACTGTAAGTTGGACTTTCGTGCTCTTACTGGGGAGATGAGGATTTTTCTCCATCGTCCGCCGTGAGCAGCAAACAGGCCTGCAACAAGTGTGAATGTGAGTGTGTGTGGAGCCCATGTGTGAATATTGTGGATCTAGTGGATTATATAGCATATTTTTGAGTGTATATTAGTGAGTCACTTACCAAGAGGTGATAACATAATTTGTGTTGTTTAACATAATTTCAAAGGGAATTATTTCATTTACACGGCATGTTTCATTTGTTTATGAAGCTGGATATCATTTGAGTTAAGAAAAGGGTGTGTTGTACATTACTTTCAGTAAACGTTTGGTTTGTGTTAAAGAGTTGTCTGGGGTTGATTCTTTTACTACTGGTTAAGTCTAACTTGCAGGCAAAGGTTTACTGATAGTTTCCCCGATTCCTGTCTATACCAGAACCTTTTGTGGTATCTAGGCTGTAACGAACCTAACACCCCACCTAGGGGGTCCAAACTGAGGTAAGTGGATTTAGACTCAGTATCACGGGTGGGGTGCTACATAAAATGGAGGCACCGCTGGGATAAAGACTGGTAGTAATTAGTATTAACTTGTGACCCTTCCTTCCCCCCCCATCTCCAGCTGCCTCCCTCTTCCCACTCCACCACAACCACCCACACATGCAGGGCCTTGGAGTAGGGGTATGTCACCAGGGTGCAGAGGAGGCTACCCTGTCCCCTTCTGGCTTCCTCTGCCTCAATTTTATCCCACAACTTAGACATTCACATTGCTCACACTCTCATTACACATACATATAGGATCTTCGGGGTGGGCACGATACACGGAATCCAAAGTACCATCAGGGTGTACACCTCACCCCTGGCGTCGTTGCCCACCCCTCAATTTTAAATACACGTAGACATTGAGGGCTAGCAGGAGGGGCTATGCGCTTACCTGCTGCTCTCTGGCAGGTAGCTCCATGCCCTCCTGGGTTTTAATTGCACCTTAGAACACACATGCATCAACACTACAATGAGCGGGCGGAGGGAGGTTTGGAGTCTTCTCTCACCCCCATTCTCTGCGACCTGCTAGAGCAGGGGGGCTAGGAGGAGGAGTTGGCCATCCGACTGCGGTCTGGAGTGTGGGGCCTCCCTGCTGCTGCGGAGTCGGGGCGGTCTGCCTCTCCCCACCGCAGGGAAAAGGGTAACACCACCTGGGTCTGGGTGCAGTTCCCCCCTCCAGGGGCAAGGGTACCTAGACCCGGTTCGTAGAGTACGCTTGGGGAGTGTGATCGTGTGTACAGCGTCTCTTCATGTCTGTCTCCTTGTTGGTTGAGTGTGGAGTAAGTGCATATGAGAGCATGAGGGTGGGAATGGATGTTTGTATCTGTGTGTGCCTGTATGTCTGTGTCTATATGTCAGGTTGGGTGTCAGACGCCACCTCTCTGGGGACATCTCAGGCCCTCCAAGGTATGGAGGTCTATCTCCCCCCACCACCACTTCCCCTGCCAGTGGCGGACTCCCTCAGATATCGGTGCGTTGGTGGTTCTTTGTGTCTGGGGATGGGCATCCAGGTACACACCGGCTCACTCCTTGGCGGCCGCTTATCGGGGCCTGGAGCCTGGGGCTCGCTCGGGCCACTTCGGAGGTGGGGTGCCCCCGGCCTCTCGGCCTGGGGCTCGGTCACTCAGGCACAGCTGGCTGCCGGCGGAACTCACGGGCGCGTCACTGCAGCTACCCCGGGCTTCTGCTCCGCGGCTGCTGAGTGAACCCTCATCTGGGACTCTCCTCACCTCTTTCTGGGACAGTGGCGCGGCTGCCCCTCTGTTAGTCTTCCTTGGTCTCTTGTTTTTTGGGGGCCTCTGGATGTCTGGAGTTTTGATCTCCTCGTACCTGCTTCATGCCCTGGAGGACGGGGCTGTGCCCCCCCCCCCCCCCACACCCTCTAGCAGATCATTACATGAAGGAACCTTTTAAAAAAAACAAAAAACAAGCGCGTCCATGCTCACAGGTGTACACACGGGTGATCACACCCACAAACTACACCCTTTTTGGCTCCTACCTCAAAGCACACTGTGTTCTGTTGATCTTATGTGCTGCACAATAATGCTTAATATTTAGTATTTACTGTCATATTCCCATATATCATTGTGATGTTGTTTATTCTATTACTCTTGTTCTCTTCTGCTTGTTTTCTTTTTTCTTTCTCAACAGGTGATCCAGGTGATCATATATGCTTTTTTTTTTCTTTTCTTACTTTTTTTTTTTCCTTCCCATTCTGTTGGTTTTTGTTTTTTGCCCTTCTCCCCCGTCCCCCTTCTCAGCTGTTTCTCTTTCCCTCTTTCTTTCTCCCCTTCTTTCCTCCAGTCAAGTCTTTCCCGTATTCAGCAAGTGAAAATAAAATAAACAATAAAAGGTGAATCAAATGGACCATTATGGCAAGGCTGGGATGGTCAATTTGGTAAAGTAAATCCGTTGGGCATCTTTCATTGCCTTTAGACAATAATTCTGATGGCAAAAGAGCCAAACGGGACAGGCAAAAAAACTCCAAAAAAACAAAAAAAAAAACTTGTGACCCAGACAACCCTTAAAGAGAGAGTGATTTGAAATTATAGTAAGTTAAAGCAGAGCAAAATCAGTTTGTGTTTGGTATTGTGTTACACTATACACATACAGTAAGATTCACACACCCAGCACCAAGAAATGGCTCAGTTACGGCACTGGTGTAAAGGAGAAGGCCTTAACCCTTTGCATGCCATACTACTTAAAGATGTTTCCGAGGACACAGAGATTGAAGTCATAGAAAGAACTCTGCAATCCATTAAAGTTCTTAGACGTGTGAAGGTTAGAGGACGTATGTATGATCCCCAGAGCAAGTGTTTGACCGTACTGTGTGAATGCAGAGAAAAGGTAAATACTAAAGCCATTCCTCTGGACATTCTAGCTGATGGCAGCAATTCACCCTGGAGAATCATCGGCCACTTAGAGGAGGAGGATGGTTTAGTTGACCAGCTGGTTGCAGATGACTGGCAGGCACCTCAAACTGATTTGGGACCTGCCGCCACACTTCAGGCCTCCACTCCTGAAGCAATCATCAGAGCTGTTGGAGACCTTCTGGAAAATACCTCTAAGCCTGCCAATGACAATAGCAGCTACAGGAGGTTGCGCACCTCCTCAGGGGTTGTCCCCACACCCCCAGGAGAGGAGCAGTTGGAGAACTGGATACTACAGGCTCGACTGATGATAGAGGAATACGATCGGCCTGACAGAGAGAAGAAAATCACGATAATGGAAAGTGTAAAGGGTCCCGCGTTGGAGCTTTTACAGGCTGTACGATTTAATAACCCTGAAGCAACACCTCAAGAATACATTGATGTGATTGAGAATACTTTTGACAGACCAGAAACAGGAGAGTAACTCTATTTTGCCTTCCGAATGCTATGTCAACACAGAGGGGAGAAACTTTCTGAGTTTCTGAGAAGAATGGTGAGATCTCTGAGCAAGGTGGTCAAAAAGGGAGGTTTGTCTCCTGCCCTCATTGACAAAGCACGTCTAGATCAGCTCATTAAAGGTGCAACAGAGTCTGACCTGATGCTGTTAAGTTTGCGTTTAAGGGAATGAAAAGATAATCCCCTACCTTTCTGCAGCTGTTAAATGAGGTCCGCACTGAAGAGGAGCATGAAGCTTCTCGGCGCAGACTTAACCTCAACAAAGTCGTGCATGTCAAAAGCGCTACTGTACCCACAGGCCCAGACCTCCCTCTCCCCAGCCACCTCCTCCAGCTTATCCGGGGGAATACCAAGGCGTTCCCAGGCCAGCCGAGAGATATAATCTCTCCAGCGTGTCCTGGGTCTGCCCCGGGGCCTCCTCCCGGTGGGACATGCCTGGAACACCTCACCCAGGAGGCGCCCAGGGGGCAACCTTGTCAGATGCCAGAACCACCTCAGCTGGCTCCTTTCGATGTGGAGCAGCAGCTGCTCTACTCTGAGCCCCTCCCGAATGGCCGAACTTCTCACCCTATCTCTAAGGGAGAGGCCAGCCACCCTTCGGAGGAAGCTCATTTCTGCCGCTTGTATCCGCGATCTCGTTCTTTCGGTCACTACCCACAGCTCGTGGCCATAGGTGAGGGTAGGGACGTAGATCGACCGGTAAATTGAGAGCTTCGCTTTTACACTCAGCTCCCTCTTCACCACAGGTGCAGCGTCCGCATTACTGCAGCTGCAGCCCCAATCCGTCTGTCGATCTCCGGCTCCCTTCTCCCATCACTCGCGAACAAGACCCCAAGATACTTGAACTCCTCCACTTGGGGCAGGAACTCATCCCCGACCCGAAGTGGGCACTCCACCCTTTTCCGGCTGAGAACCATGGCCTCAGATTTGGAGGTGCTGATCCTCATTCCCGCTTCTTCACACTCGGCTGCGAACCGTTCCAGTGCGAGCTGGAGGCCCTCACCCGATGAAGCCAACAGAACCACATCATCCACAAAAATCAGAGATGAGATTCTGAGCCCACCAAAGCGAAAGCCCTCCCCCACTTGGCTGCGCCTAGAAATCCTGTCCATAAAAAATTATGAACAGAACCGGAGACAAAGGGCAGCCCTGGCGGAGCCCATCACCCACCGGGAACGAGTCCGACTTATTGCCGGCAATGCGAACCAAGCTCTTGCAACGGTTGTATAGGGATCGACTGGCCCGTAGCAATGGGCCAGACACCCCATACTCCCGCAACACCTCCCACAGGACACCCCGAGGGACACGGTCGAATGCCTTCTCCAAGTCCACAAAACACATGTAGACTGGTTGGGCAAACTCCCATGCACCCTCAAGTATCCTTGAGAGGATAAAGAGCTAGTCCAGTGTTCCGCGACCAGGACGAAAACCGCATTGTTCCTCCTGTATCCGAGGTTCGACTAGCGGACGAACTCTCCTTTCCAGCACCCTGGCATAGACTTTCCCAGGGAGGCTGAGGAGTGTGATCCCCTGTAGTTGGAACACACCCTCCGGTCCCCTTCTTAAAGATGGGGACCACCACCCCGGTCTGCCAGTCCACAGGTACTGCCCCTGATTTCCACGCAACATTGCAGAGGCGTGTCAACCAGGACAGCCCTACAACGTCCAGAGCCTTCAGGAACTCGGGGCGGACCTCATCAACACCAGGGGCTCTGCCACCAAGGAGTTGTTTAACTGCCTCAGTGACCTCGCCCCCGGAAATTGGCGGGTCATTCCCCTCATCCCCAGACTCAGTCGACGTCAGCAGCGCTCCGCCAGCACTATACACAGTGCAGGTAGAGCACCGCTTTCCCCTCCTGAGACGCCTGACGGTTTGCCAGAATCTCTTCGAGGCAGTCCGAAAGTCTTTTTCCATGGCCTCTCGGAACTCCTCCCACACCCGAGTTTTTGCTTCAGCCACTGCCTGAGCTGCATTCCGCTTCGCCTGTCAATACCTGTCGGCTGCCTCCGGAGTCCCACAGGCTAACCAAGCCCGATAGGACTCCTTCTTCAGCCTGGTGGCTCCCTTTACCTCTGATGTCCACCATTTGGTTCGGGGATTACCACCACGGCAGGCATCAACCACCTTGCGGCCGCAGCTCAATGCAGCAGCTTCGGCAATGGAGACGCTGAACATGGTCCATTCGGACTCAATGTCCCCAGTCTCCCTCGGAATGCTGTTGAAGCTCTGCCGGAGGTGTGCGTTGAAGATCTCGCGGACTGGGGCCTCTGCTAGACGTTCCCAGCACACCCTCACTACGCGTTTAGGTGCACCGGGTCTGTCCAGCGTCCTCCCCCGCCACCTGATCCAACTCACCACCAGGTGGCGATCAGTTGACAGCTCAGCCCCTCTCTTTACCCGAGTCTCCAGAACATATGGTTGCAGGTCTGGTGATACGATTACAAAATCGATCATCGACCTACGGCCTAGAGCATCCTGGTGCCACGTGCACTTATGGACACTCTTATGTTCGAACAGGGTGTTCATTATGGCCAAACTGTGATTAGCACAGAAGTCCAATAACAAAGCACCGCTCGGGTTCAGATCAGGGAGGCCGTTCCTCCCAATCACGCCCCTCCAGGTCTCGCTGTTGTTACCCACGTGAGCATTGAAGTCTCCCAGCAGGACAACAGAGTCAGGTGGAGCACCTTCCAGCACCCCCCCCCCCCCCCCCCCCCCCCCAGGGACTCTATGAAGGCTGGGTACTCTGAACTGCCACTCGGCGCATAAGCGCAGATGACAGTCAGGACCCGTTCCCCGACCCTAAGGCGCAGGAAACAAACCCTCTCGTCCACCGGGAAAAACCCCAACGTACCGGCAGCAAGCCGAGGGGATATTAGAATACCCACCCAGCCCGCCGCCTCTCACCAGGGGCAACTCCAGACTGAGACAGAGTCCAGCCCCTCTCCAGGAGACTGGTTCCAGAGCCCAAGCCATGCGTAGAGGTGAGCCCGACTATATCTAGCCGGTACCTCTCAACCTCACGCACTAACTCAGGCTCCTTCCCCACCAGAAAGGTGACATTCCATGTCCCTATTGCCAGTCTTGGCAGCCGGGGGTCAGTCCACCAGGGCCTCCACTCCTGGCCGCCACCCGGCACACAATGCACCCGACCCCTATGGCGCCTCCTGCGGGTGGTGGGCCTGCGGGAGGATGGGCCCATGTCACCTCTTCGGGCTGTGCCCGGCCGGGCCCCGTGGATTAAGGCCCGGCCACCAGACGCTCACCCTCGGGCACCCTCCCGGGCCTGGCTCCAGGGCGGGGCCCCGGTAACCTTATCCCGGGCAGGGTAAACTGTTCCCCCGATATCCTTTTCATAAGGGTCTTCTGAATCGCTCTTTGTCTGGTCCCTCACCCAGGACCAATTTGCCATATATATATGTATGTACATATATACATATACATATATATATGTATGTACATATATACATATACATATATATATGTATGTACATATATACATATATATATATGTATATATATGTATATATATATATATATGTGTGTATATATATATATGTATATATGTATATATGTATGTATATATATGTATGTATATATATATATGTATGTATATATATATATATATACATATATATACATATATACATACATACATATATATATACATATATATGTATGTATATACACTGGGTGAATGTGCAGTAGTAGCAGCAAGCAGGTGAATTCTGTACATTAATATGAATAGACATATGACTATTTTACAGGATAGACAATATAAACATATTTAAAATTAAAGGAATTTGAAATGTACATTGTGCCTTGGTTTAGAGTGTCTGGAAGAGAGTCCTGTCTCAGTCAATTATAGATGATGTGAGAGGGCGGGTGTGTGTGTTTAGGGCACGGATGGCTTGGGGATAGAAGCTCCTCTTGAGTCTCTCTGTCCTTGCCCGGAAGATGCGGAACCTTCTACCAGATTGCAGAAGTTGGAACAGTTTGTTGCCTGGATGGGACGGGTCCTTCAGTATCTGCGCTGCTCTAGTCCGGCATCTCCTGGTGTAGGTGTCCTGAAGCGGGGGAGAGCAATCCTGCAGCAGCGTTCTGCTGTACGGATCACTCTCTGGAGAGCTTTTTGGTCCTTCACACAGCTGTTCCCGAACCACGATGTCATGTTCTGTGTGAGGATGCTCTCCACAGCACCTGTATAGAAAATCCTGAGGATCTTTGGAGAGACCCTGAACTTCCTCAGTTGTCGTAGGTGATACAGGCGCTGCCTAGCCTTTTTGGTCTGGACCTGAATATGGGCAGCCCATGTCAGGTCTGAGGAGATGTGGACACCAAGATACTTGAAGGACTGCACCCTCTCCACTGGAGCTCCATTGATGATAATGGGCTTGTAGTCTCTGTGCTGACCCCTTCTGAATTCCACCACCAGCTCCTTGGTCTTGCTGACGTTCAGCTGGAGGTGGTTGTCCTGGCACCACGATGCCAGATTCTTCACTTCATCCATGTAGGCCCTGTTGCCCCAGCTGACCTGGATGACTTACGCCGCCACCTGCAAGGACTTTTGGCAGCGGGGATAATAAAAGAATCAAGGAGTCCCTATGCTTCCCCCATCGTCTTGGCACGAAAGAAAACGGGGCGGTTGCGCATGTGTGTGGACTATCGGACCCTGAATCGCAGAACTGTCCCTGACCAATACACAGTTCCTTGCATTGACGAGGCATTGGACTGTTTGTCTGGCAGCAGGTGGTTCTCTGTCTTGGATTTGCGTAGTGGATACTACCAAATTCCCATGGCAGAAGAGGACAAGGAGAAGACCGCTTTCATATGTCCTTTGGGATTCTTTCAATTTGAGAGGATGCCCCAGGGGATAACAGGAGCTCCCGCGACCTTTCAAAGAGTAATGGAGAAAGCAGTGGGAGACATGCACATGATTGAGGTCATAGTGTACCTTGACGATTTGA